TTACCATACTACCTAATCAATACACGGAAAAACCGAGCACTCAGGATGTCACCAACCCTCCTGAAACAAGCAATGGTTTTAAGAGTACATCTATCGAAATCGACGAAACTTTGATTAACAAGTGGTGTCTGGTAAATTATACTATTCAAAAAAAGTAGGGGATATTTGATTTTTAAGTGTTATTAAAGTCACCTAATGAAACTGACGAAGAAACAAATGACAAAATGAAATGAAGTTCACATTCATCGATTTATTCCAAATGATCGTTAGACTAAGTAAGGCACAGACTGACCATTATAAGGGTAAAATGATACCCGGGGGCAAACAGCAAAGTTACCACAGCATCACAACCAAGTCAGTAACGGGTAAATCCTCCTCTGTTTGCCAAACAAGCATTGATCCGACGTGGCATACTCCTAATGAGACGTCTAAGGTCATTTTGGTCCAGATTGTCACATTCCTGTTGCAACACAGCAGCAAATTCTTGGACATTGGCAGGACATTGTTGACGTTGACGTAACCGCTGTCCAAGCATGTCCCAGCCATGCTCGATGGGGGAGAGGTCGGGACTCAGTGCTGGCCAAGGTAATGTGGTGATGTTCTGTTGTTGGAGGTAACCTGTAACGATCCTGGCCCGTGACATCTTGCGTTGTCATCCTGGAAGATGAAACGGCGGCCATGACGTCGTGCGAACGGCACAACATGGACTGCCAAGATGTTGTCCCGGTAGTACTGGCCTGTAACACACCCTGCAACAACATGTAAAGCCGTTCTTCCAGCAACAGTGATGCCTCCCCACACCATAACAGAACCACCCCCAAATCGATCATGTCTGATGACGTTTACGTCTTGGAAGCGCTCGTTTCGACGACGCCACACCCTCCTACGTCTGTCCAAAAAATCAACAGTGAACCTTGACTCATCTGAAAACATCACATTGCTCCAGCGTCGATTATCCCAGTGTTGATGATCCCTACACCAACGACGTCTTGCCTGAATGTGATGATCTCTCAAACAAGGGATCACGCGAGGACGTCGGGCGCGAAGGTGACCCCTATGCAGTCGATTCCGAATCGTCTGGCCACTCACTCTCACACTAGTGTCTGTTTGAAGACGAGCGCTGATCTGATTTGCTGTGATGACACGATTTCTCAAGGCCAAGGTACGGATAAATCGATCCTGGGCTTGAGCTGTCGCCCTTGGTCGACCTGAGCGTGGTCTGTCCTGTACAGATTGTGTATCACGGTATCTGGACCATAGCCTGCTTATGACAGACTGAGAAACATTCATCGTCCGCGCCACAACCGCCTGTGTTGTGCCGATCTGTAGCATGCCAAGGGCACGTAACCTTTCATTTTGGGTAAGCCGACGCATATCAAAATTTGTTTTCTGGTCACTAAAACAATTAAACTGATGTTTCCACCCTGGAATTCAATGCCACAATGACTGTAACATTTAAAGTCAGAGTCGTGCAAATCTTGGGTTGGACCCCCATGATGATCCCAAGCATCACCTGCATTCCATGCGGTAGCTATTGGTGCGTTTGGGCGTCACATGTAACTGGAAATGTTTCTTCTGTTAGGTTCTATAGTGACTTTTTTCGTAGTCATTTGCATATTTTAGTATTATGCCCCCAAAATCAAATATCCCCTACTTTTTTTGAATAGTATATTATGGCTACCTATATCCGGGAATAATAAATGATGTCGATGACGAAGAGATTGAGGTCACCGCAATGAGCAGTGCTGGAAGAAACAGATACTTTTGGCCAAGGATGGAAGATAGGATATGGTATAGTCTAGACAAATTTTTAGCCCTTATTCCAGAACCTCAACCAATTACTGGTCGTCATTTCCAAGTAGATCATGAAATCTTTGAAAAGATCGCCCCTAAATTTGAAAAGTTCACAAAATAAAACAATCGTTATTGTTTTACCATTAACAATTATATGTTATAGAAATTACAGTTGTTTCTTTTAATGGACCCGTACCAAATTAACCAGATATATAGGAGCTGTAGTGGGACGTTAGACACAATTTAAATATACAAATCAATCTTAGTCATTACCGCGAGTCATTGCATGTGTTATTTTTTCTTATTGAACAATCATTGTAAATTGAAATTGTATACTGAATTAAAAGTATTAAAACACATAATAATATTACTTCCATGTGAAATTTGTTTATTTTATCCTTTTGGGGTTATCGTAACGAGTGGATTTGTCATCTACACGAGTATAGGTCAACACCGCTCCTGACAGTCATTTACCGCGATTGGGATTTAAATTAAAAAGTACATAAACATACAATATACATGGTCCAACCTTTCATGTCTTTACTTTCTCAACATACATATCCACCATTTAGAACAGTATATGTGACAACCACTGCCGATAGAGCCACGTGACCGAGTATTAATGTCAGCAAAGTTACGAATTTCATTGTGTTAACACTTTAACATTCAATAAAACGACATAGTATTGCAGTATTTTATTCTTGAAAACAAATTACAATCTAAATCATCAAGCGTTTAATTGATTCGACACACAATTAGACCACAATTATAAATTGATATATTATTTTTTCGCTGTTTTGATGCTGTCGCGGAAATGACGAAGTGTACCTGAGACGTCTCCGTAATTTACATACAATTACGAAAGTAAACATTAGGTAAACTGCTCATATACAAAATAACATTAAAAAATGGTTCAACACTTGAAATGTAATTCATTTATGTGAAATCGGGTAACAGTATTTGTGAAAATTTTTAATCTCAAAATGGCACCCAATCTGTAGAATGACCCATATGCATTCCTTACTTTGCATGCCGTATGAAGAAGCGACAGTAAATGGAATTCAGTTATCAATAAAATTCTCTTCGAAAAGAAAATTATTGGCTATTTTGTTTATTTCCATTTAAGGCCTATAAATTATTTTTTTTAAAGATGAAATAAGATATCAAATAATCACCGCTTGGAATAATTATTCGGAGTAAATAATGAGTTGCCGACGACTTTATCATTGATCTGTGACAGTTGATTACTATTACTCAATGACACACCCGCTTGTCGATTAATTTATACGATCAGAATTAATTTTTTTTCTGCCACTTATTTGAGTGCATGTAGGTACCCAAAAACATTATCACCAAAACTAAATATCTATCGTCCGCTCGAACCAGCCGCATAACCATAATGCTTTGCATGTAGTGTCTGGGCCAATCAGCAAAATGAAATGAAATGAAATGGGGTTTAACGTCCTTCTGTTCTGCTCCTATACTGGGCTAATGAAGATGGGCATACGCCATACAGTGTGCTATGAGGGAAATTTTGCCCGGACAGCGGCACTATCGCCTACTCTTTGTCGAATTCCAACTGCCAGGGGATCTTTTACGTGCATTCCAATATACACACGGGACCTTGGTTTTTTGTTTCATCCGAAGGACTAGACAGCTGTCCTTGTCAGGCCCTCCATCCTGCATCACTGACAAGGGGAAACCACACCGGAAAATCTGGATGAACTTTCTCAGTCAATGCAGGGATCGAACACCCGACCTCCAGGCTAGCGAGCCAGCGTCTTACCCACTTAGCCACGTGATCCCCGCCAATCAGCAAACAAGTTGTGTAGACAGTATACTAACAAGCAGAGTTTGTTTACATTTTTTTGGGGTTTTAAAACTCGATTGTATCCGTTCAAAATGAAATCATTGGCAATATTTTGGACATATTTGTAAACTAGAGATTCTCTGCTTTACAACGATGCCAATTATTATGTAAGAGGAATGACCAGTCGTCCTGCTGCAAGCAAAGAAAAATAAATAATTTCGCTGAGAATTTTAAGAAATAGGACAGACTTAAGAATACAGTACTCTTACAAAACGTCCCAATAAAGGTGTTTTAAAATCTTTTATTGCTATTTTGATCTTTTGTGTCGATAGATACTATAGTATATTTATACACTCATTTTTGTGAAAATCTCAATTTCGATCAAAATCAATATTTTCACTTATTTTGTCTCTAGTTCAAAATTAGATAATGCGCATTCCATCTCATTTTGACAATGTGGAAATTACTATTTTAAATGGATTATAATACTACGACCACGTTAAGATGAGCATCTATGGGTGCACATTTTTTTTTAATTAAACGGGTCATCTAATAGATAAATTACTTACCTGGGAATTGATTTTCTATATATTCTGTAACTTATTTGTCAATGTGGAAATTAGTATCTTTAATGGATAATAATACTACGACCATGGTAAGACGAGCATCTATGGGTGCACATTTTTTTATAATTAAACGGTTCATCTAATAGATAAATGCTGTTGCTAAATAAAGACGAGCATCTATGGGTGCGCATTTTTTTATAATTAAACGGTTCATCTAATAGATAAATGCCGTTGCTAAATAAACATTACTTTAACTGATACACGCTTTTCGGGGAAATTATACCATTTATCTAATAAATAAACGCCTTTGATAAATAAACGGTACGTTGATTGATACACGCTTCTTGGAAAATTACACTGTTCATCTAATAAATAAACGCTGTAGATAAATAAACGGGACGTTGATTGATACATGCCTCTCTGGAAAATACCAGCCAACTACACAATAGTGGCAATGACACGATTTTTGGAAGTTATAAATGATTTTTAACTGCTGTCAAACAATGATTTGAAAGTAAACCATATGTATAGTTTCTCAGGTTAAAAACACACAAGTAAACAGTACGCGGGTTCCAGTGTAAAGTTATGTGTCCCAAAGCATCAACCAATAAAATTGCTTGCAGAAAAAAACTCATCAACGAACTGCATCAAGGCATTCACCTAATAAACACCTACACTAAGTTTGAACATTCTAACAGTTATTGTATCCCCAAAACAGAACCCATTTTAAACACGACAGTCCCCTGCTCTTACAGTGTAACTAGTGCTAGATTAAGATGCACAGGGGCCCTGGATATAGATCTACACATTGTATAATTATACCAATTTACCTTTAACTGACTTTATCTGTATACCACGATGATTATTACTTTTCTGTACCCACATGGTATCAACATGTTTTTTTATCTGTTAAACAAATATTATTTTATGAATTATGTATTATTATTATATAATAGTGTTTTATACACATAAAGTTATATAATATCAACATGTTTTTTTATAATAATTAATAGCTATGTTTTACAGAGACACAATGAAAACATACCACTTTTATAAATGGATGAGTGTAAATCTAATTTGAGAGTTAAACTTTAATCTTCTAATTCTGAATGTAACAACATCAGATCCTGACGATATCATGTGAATATGATGTTTTCACAATTGCGTAAAATGTGTCACAGATCAATTCTCTCAAAATATTGAATTTGGAAGAAAGGGAAAGTTAAAAATCACAATTTTATGGTGCAGACATGAGGTATAAAATGTGGCTTTTAAAAAGCTAGGGTCACTACATTTCCTGCTATTCTGTGAAAGACATAACTATATGCCACAGCTGACCCCTGAACACTGAGAACTGGGCATTGTATTAACTGCAGATGGCATCTATACCAGAGACATTGCCCAAAGGTATGTATGTCATCACACCACCATCCTGAGATTGGCCAATTGTTTCCAACCTGTTTACTTGCATATTCAACTGATTTCAACAAAAAATAACACTAATTATGTGTTGAACGATGTTGTGGGGGTTTCATATTTGACAGATTTTGACAACCACGTATTGCAGGCAAAATAACGCCAAAAGTGACGCATGCAAATTTGCCTATTTCTCGGCAACTGCTCATATTACAAACTAATTTCGACATTGATTGTCTTTGTATACATAGATGCTATAAGTTTATCAATATTACATAGAAATATTTTAAAATATGGAAAGCCTGAATGGGTTTTTATCTGTTAAAAAAAAATATTATTTTATGAATTATGTATTATTATTATATAATTGTGTTTAATACACATAAAGTTACATAATATCAACATGTAAGACAGTTGTGACAAATACCCAAGAATACCCATGAATTTTCCCACGCATTATTCACAGTCGTAAAAATATTCCTAGTAATCCTAGCACCTGTTGGAAACATTCGTTGTGCATGCAGATTGAACCTGAATACCTAAGTTTGTTGAAAATCAATAGGATTCTTCGTCTCATGACCTCGAACACTATGTATAAATTCAAAATCAATCGGATATTAACTTTAGCCTCTAGAGTGTCCAGAATTTTTTTTGAAGAGATCAAGGACCATAACCCTGGTAGTAATTATCGGAAATCGTTGAAAATCAATAGGATTCTTTGTCTCATGACCTTAAACACTGTGTATAAATTTAAAGTCAATCGGATATTAACTTTGGCCTCTAGAGCATCTAGGTACAAGATATTTTGAGGTGATCAAGGGCCATAACTCTGGCAGTAATTATCGGAAATCGCTGAAAAACAATCGGATATCAATGCGATTATTTAGCGGATATCATATTCTTACCCTCTGTAGATGAGTCTTAATGGAGTATAAGACGAATCCCGGACTTCTGCTGAAAAATGTAGCGACTTATGACCCGAAAATATGGTAATTTTGGAGGAATTTGAAAAAAGTACAGATCGGCAGCAGTCGGCACGGTTTCATTCTATCGTATTACGAATCAGACATTATTTCGACTACTTCCGGATAGTTGTTTAAGTTGCTTTATCCAATGGTCTGACAATATAGCTTTATGTTCCAGAGCTTTCAGAAACATCGATTGAGACTTTCAAAAAAATATAAGGGTTTGAAAATGGGCAGAAAATCGAAAAAAATCGAAAAATAAAGGGTGATAACTCGGAATGAAACTTATATCACTGGAATCGGATGGACTTCAGGTATCCATAAATGTAGGTCAAATTTGAAAATTTTAAAAAATAACAAAAATTGTTTTAAAAACAATGTGTTTTCAATTTTCGAACGATAGAAGCCAAAGACGAATATTCGAAATTGAAAAATGTGAGATGGCCATTGTCTCTGAAAAGATTCAGGGTTTCTGAAAATGTCATTTGTTTGAAAATAGGTAAAGAATTGGCGAAACTATGGCCGATTTTCAATTCCGAGATAAAGTACAAAGTTTGGTCACTTCCGGTATGCACGGAAGTTTCAAAAATAGTTTACCAAATAGCCACCACATGGTTTGCCCCGAGAGAAAATTTGGTTCCAGATCGATATCTGTTTTCAATCATGGAGAAAAAGGCTCCCGCGAAAAAAAATAATAATAACTAGACATGCAGGGCAGTGCTGAATTGGCTTTCAGGCAACAGACACGAAGGAAGCATAATAAAGTCCATTCACTGGGCTATCGAATGATACTTTAGCTCATTTTATCTGGTTACCTCCCTTATACCATTAGAACCGTATTTAAAAATATAACGATTTTTCGACTTTTTTCAAAGATTCTGGCCCATTTTGGACCATTTATACTATATTTAGGCTTTTAAGTTTGGATTCACACCCTAGAACACCGTTTGAACTCTAAGTAACAGAAGTTTAAGAAATGACATAAGAGTAGTTTTCGAGATAAAAGTGTCTGAATAGGCTCCAAAAAGGAAAATACTAGATTTTCAGCATCCCATAATATATTGACCATTGGGATGTCATAAGATCATCCATTGTTTGGGCTATCCAAAGACACTTTAGTTGTTTTGATTCGGTGAAATCTGGCGTAGTAATCACTTTTTTTCGCAAGATCACCATTTTTTTACTTTTTTTTTTCAAAATATCTGATATTATTTCGACTACTTCCGGGTTTTTTAATCATTGTCGAGATAGTTTTAACAAGTTGTTTGGATACTTAACTTTCTGTACCAGAAGTTTCAGAAACATCCATTAAGCTGTTTACAAAAAAAAGAAAGTAGAAGAGCATTTTCAGTAATTTAACGATTTTTTAACTTTTTTCAAACATTGATGCCCTTTTTCGACCACTTACATTATTTCAATGCTTTTATTTTTGGATTCACACCCTAGACCACCGATAGGACTCTGAATAAAAAAGCTTTAAGAAAAATCGTAGGAATCGTTTTTGAGAAAAAGGGATCTCAAGGGCTCCAAAACGGAAAATACTACATTTTATTTCCTAACCATCGAAATTGTATCATTTAGATGTCGTATGATAGCCCATATCCAACGACACTTTAGTTCTTTTGGTCCGCTAATATCTGACGGAGAAATCAAGTTTTTCGCAAGAGTGCCAATTTTTTAACTTTTTTTTTTTATTTTTTTGAAAACTTCCGGTATGGAGATTATTGTCAGGATAGTTTTAATAACCCGTTTGGGTAACTGAATGATCGCAGGGCTCTATAATGATATATTACATTATCCGATCAGATGAAATCACCATGTTCAAATGTGCCATTAATGCAAAAATGTCAAAATATCGAAAATTAAATTTCAATAACTCAATACATATTATACATCGTTGGAATCGGAATTAGATCAGCTACCGAATGTATAACTTTTTTTTTGAAAATCTGTTAAAATAAAAAAATAGTAGAGCATTTTCCAAAATTTCACAATTTTTCAATTTTCAGTCCCTTTTTTATGCTATTCCAATTATTTAAAAGTCTTATTAGACAGCTTCATGCACAAGACTACTGAAGGGACTCTCAATAGAGAGGTTAAGTTTTTGAGATAAAGGAGTCCAAAAACGCTCCAAATCAGAAAATACTTGATTTTCAGCGTGCCATATTTTGCTTTCTGATCATCGTATCCGTATAAATTGGGTATCATAGGCCAGTCCAATCCTCGTGCCACCCAAAGATACCTTAATTTGTTTAATCGCTTGATATGAGATGGAGAAATCGTGTTTTTCCTAAAAGCATCCATTTTTTGCGTTATTTTTAAAAATCAGACATTATTTTGACTACTTTTGGTTTACGGATCGTTGTTGGAATTGCTTTATGCAACGGTTTGACCATATGGCTGTATGATCCAGGAGTTTCAGAAACATCAATTGAGGCTTTCAAAAAAATATCAGGGTTATAAAATGGGCAGAAAATTTGAAAAATAAAGGACGATAACTCTGAATGAAACTTATATTGGAGTTGAATTGACTTCAGGTATTCATATTTGTAGGTCAAACTTGACAATTTGGATAAATAACAAAAATTGTCTCTAAACAACTTTTTTTTTTTAAACTTCGGACGTAAAATGACAGCGACGAAGTTTTGAAATTTCGAAATATTTAAGTGTTATCTTTCAGGTCAAGAATTGAGGAAACTACATCCGATTTTTGATTTTGGCCATTTCGGCCACTTCCATTCTGCGCAGAAGTTTCAAAAATAGTTTATCAAGTAACCACCACATGGTTTCCCGGTGGAAAATAATACATGATACTACTATACACATGAATAGATTTGTTTTAACTCCTTGGTAGCTTAGAGTGTCTGGTTGGTCGAGTTGCACATACCGTTCTCCATGGCGAACCCAGGCCGCGTGGTAGCAAGGATGCGGAAATCTCACACTACATGGAAACAGGAGAGGAACTCGAAAATCTAAGACTCGACTACTGTACTGCATAGATCAGAGTATCAATAGAGAGATATAAGCTGTCCCCAACTTTTATCGCTTTGTTTGTAGGTGTAACCGCGATTGGGCAAGAATGTGATGAAATTGAAATTTTCGTTTACATGATAACACGATACGATTTTGAAATTTTTGTTTACATGGTAACACGCAGGTATACGATTTAAAAGGGTATTGGCAGTGAAATAGAGTATTGTGAGTAATATAGTTTATTTTGGTCTTTTGTATCCAAGGGCCACTATTCTCTGTTGGAAAATAAGATTTTCGGTCTTGTTGGTGTCAAGACTAGTTTGCAACAATAAAAGAGCATTTTCCAAAATTTCACGATTTTTCGACTTTTTTTCGATTTTCAGTCAGTTTTTTTATGCTATTCCAATTATTTCAAAGTCTTATTGGATGGCTTCATGCATAAGACTCACAATAGAGAATGTTAAAAAAATATCATAGGTTAAATTTTCGAGAAAAGGGCGCCCAAAAACGCTCTAAATCAGAAAATACTTGATTTTCAGCGTGCCATATTTT